CTCACCGTATGCCTCCTCGATCAGAGCGCAATAGGGGTTGACCCCAGAGCCGTTCCTCTTGGCCTCCTGCTCGCCCAGCCGCAGGATGTTTTCCAGCCCGTTCAGGGCCACCTGCACGATCTTCGAGTCCATCAGAGTCAGCAGGTCACAGAGCGGCTTGATACACCCCATCTCCACCAGGTACCTGCATAAACAGCAAGTCAAGCAGAGCCATCAGCCTGCCTGCATTCCACATTGCAACTTAGGATTTCATACCTATAAGATGCATAAAACATTTTAATAATGTTATTTTCCAACTCCATCTCCTAGCTGCAGCGACTGCGGCAACAGTTCTAGCTGCAAAAGGACGCTTCAGCCTTGCCCCCTAGTCCAAACTCTCCAGGAGCCCCTTCTAGTCCTGTTCTGAACTCCTGCAGAGGTCCCCAGGTTTCCGACACACGTGCAGATGATTGCAGACAGCAGCAGGGCCCCAGCTTCACTCAGAAAGGTTTATACCCAGAGAGGTCCAGCAAGGCAGCTGTGCTGCACTGACCTCATCTGTTCCGCAGAGCCCCCAGATGTGGCGTTGGTAATCGCCCATGCTGCTTCCTTTCTCGTTCTGAATTCGGCCACTTGCAGGATGTTGATCAGGGCGGGCAGTATGTTGGCATCGATGACCATCTGTGACATAAGTGTAAAAAAAACAACAACTTTCAAACAGTCAATCAAAGCCCTCACAATCTTCCCTAGTTACACAGTGAGCTGGGAAATAAAAATCCAATCAATAATATCCCTGTGATACTAGAGAGGGGATTGTGAAAGTCTGTATGTCACAGAATGAATCGTCTGAGGATGCCAATTATTTAAGTCTCCAGACCTGAATCTGTGCCCGGTTTCCTGCTGTGATGTTGGATATTGTCCAGCAGGCCTCCTTCTTGATGGACTCCTTGGGGCTGCTCAGCAAATGCAACAAGCTCTGCAGGGCTGAGCAGTTCAGAATCACCTAGAGATAAAACAGCAGCACCAACGGCAAAACTGAATTAGCTGGGGCAAACGCATACAACTGCACCCTGCACTGCACAATCAAAGCAGGCTGAAGCTAGTAAGTGCATTATTGGCAGACCAGTGTCACTAATTAAGTTAGAGTTCCCTACTGGCTGAATTAAAACAATTACCAACTATGCTCTTTCATTTTCTATTCTTCCAAGAGCGTGGTAGATTTTAGAGTTCTATATACCCCAGAGCCTATCCAAATCTCTGTTTCAGGCCACTTTGCTAATTGGCAAGTCTCCTTCAAATTGAATGGGAAATGAAGGTTCTGGCCCTGACAGAATTACAGTATATCGCAGCCCCAAAGAACAGAGTCAACCCTTTAAAACTGATTTCAAGCACCTTCAAAATCAAAACATTAAAGAAGCATTTCAAGCATTATTTAAAAAGAAACATCTGAATGAAAGAACCAAGACTTGGATTTCATCCCAGAAAGTTCTTCCAGTGTTAGGTAAACAGTAAAAAATAAAGACTAAAAATAAATAAGTAAAAAAAGAAGACTGGTCCTACATGTCATGTAGCGATCAGTTTGCTTTCCACAACCCAGCCTTCAGAGGCTCACGCAGGTCTACTGCTGGTTTCAAATGACTGTTGTCCCAGTGACTAAAACAGGCGGTAGGACTGGGCTTCCAGTCCAGGGGGCAGAGACCTTTGCTACTTGCTAGTAAACAGGAGTGGCGCGCACCTGTGTCTGCACATCGTCTCCGGTCACGATGTTGCCCACAGCCCGCAGTGCCGGCGACACCACCTTGTAATCGCTGTGCCTGCAGCAACAAGCAGCAATGAAGCGAGAGAAAGAGAAGAGCTTCTTGGAAACCACAGAATAAAGATTCGCCGAAACATTTACGCACACGTACAAGTGGGAACTAGTTCACAACTGCATTATGATCCCTTAAATTACTTTATCACGATCTAATCTGGCAGTTTTTTACTTTTAATTCTGGAATCTGTTTAATTCATGAATGCTTTGTCCTTCATCTTATCCCGGAACACAGTATTCTCTTCAAGTGCGACGGGACAGGACAGTGGTGATTATTCTACCACCACTAGCGTGAATGAATAAACGAGCAGCTGGCTCGAGAGCTTGAGAACGGTCTGTTCATCTCGCCTCGCCAGCAGCAGCCAGCACAGCCCTGTCGGAGCCTTTTCAGACCCCGTTCCAAGCAGTCTTACAATCTCAAATGAGGGATAACTTTTACCCCCACCCGCCCCCAAAAAGATGCCTCTCCGTCTCCTCACATCAAGAGCTCGACCAGCCTCCTGCAGACGCTGGCGTCGATGACGGCCTGGATTTTGTCGTTGGGCCCGTCGGAGAGGTAGGACAAGGCCCAGCAGGCATCGGCAAGGACGTCGGTGTCGTTGACGAACAGCAGCCAGGACAGCACGCTGAGACAGGGGGACACCTGCGGAGCACACGGCACGCACCTCAGAGACGTCACCGCATCGCCCTTCCGGGGACACGAGCTGCTGATCCGTGTCGCCAGCATGGAAGAGACCACGCTGAAGCAGGACAGCTCCACGCGGCTCGAGTGATGGGCTGTGCATTGCGCTGGCAGCTGAGGAAGAGCTGGCAGCGTGCAGGGATGGCTATATCGATGCAGGGCTCAATATCTGACGAGTGCCCCTGCTTTTCTTCCCTTGGAGCGCTCGATACTGCAGTCGCTTACATTCTCTTTGACAATGTTGGATGCTGACGCACATCCCTGGAACCACGTTAACGACCGGACAAGAAATGCAGACGCTTCAAATCCACACCTCCTTTCAAGGACAAAGTACATCCCTTTATACCTCACTCTGCATCTTTGGCATATTATTCTGGTGATCCAGCCGTGTAGGAAGAGGCGTTTATAAAATCCTTCTCTACCAACAAGCCCACCAACTTCCAGTACCATGAGCTAATTTCCTATTTTTTCCTTCTTAGTTATTGTTCCACCCCTTCTCTTTAACAAAGCACATTGAGATTCAATGTAATAAAATGTGCTATATAAATTAAGGGTACGTTAATTATTAATTTACACTGTTTCATAGGTCTAGTGACATAATGACACTTGTCAGACATTTTAAAGGGGAAATCAGAAATAACATGGAGAAAAGAAGCTTTACTGGCAAATAAACCACACTGACTGATAACCCCCTGAAAGGGAGCTGGTATCATTTCTGAGCCCACAATTGGCTGTACTGAGTACTGAGCGATGCAGTGGCACAGCTGGTTCTACTTCCTGTTGCCGGGGGGCGTGGCCGTTTCCACGGTGACCCGCGAGGGAGGGGCTTACCTTTGTGAAATCAGGAGGCGGGTTCTTTCCTCGGCAGAGGTTGGAGAGCGCCCACACCGCGTTCCTCATCATCGTCAGCCTGTTCTGCTTGGCCAGCAGCCTGACACACAAAAGGGCCCGTGTCAGCGGCGGTCACGGCTACTGCTCTGTGCGCCTTTTCTTTTTCCGAAAAACTTGGAAATAAAATCGACCGGGAGAGCCCGGAGAGTTTGTGCGCTTACTGGATCAGCGATGGCAGGATGTTGCAGTCCAGCACATAGTCTCTGCACACGGTGCTGTCCCCCGCGATGTTCCCTAAAGCCCAGACAGCCTGCAACACATAAGCACAGCACAACCCTTGACTGGGGAAAGAGCTCCGAAGTGAGGAAAGGTCTCCCAGAAAGAAGAAAACAAGATAAATCTCCGATCGCAGTTCGCAAAAATCATCAATTCTTGTGGCTCTACAATTTTATTTTTCCTCTGCTGAGAAACCTGCGGAGGAATTTGTACACAAATCATTTAATTTTTAATCAAATAAATATTACCAACAGGCACGCTGGAGAATCTTAACTTTACCCCCCTTCCTTCTATATTAAGTGAAGTCGACACAATATCTTCACGTACAGTAATAGTTAAACGCATTAAAGCTAAACCAGAAATCTCTCTTGTGGTTCTGCCAGACAGAGGGCTGTTATACGTATATTCTTCAAGTTCTGTCTATAAGGCCAGTGCAGCTTTCATCACATGTCCACATCAATATTATATTAACGATAAGAGCCGCTAGCAGCTGCAGCTTGCGGACTGCGGTCCTAGCTCAGGACGCCTCTGGGATTCCGTGGAAGACCATCCCGGCTGCAAGGCCGAGACTGAAGACCTCCCACAAAGTAAACGGCCGGAATGTGAAACTCTCTCGGGGGAGCAGCGAGCCCGAGCAAAGACGGGGATTGTCACGCCTTCTGCAGCCAGAGGGCGCTCCTTCTCTGTCCTGTCCCTAGTTTCCGGTCTGCTGTCCTTCCTGTCCCTCTCTTTCCCTTGGGCTATATATTTCCGGGTCTTGCACTCTGTCCTCGCTCAGCATTGATGTTCGGATGTCCTGAGACCCGCCTAGCACCAGGGCGCCCCACGCCCGCTCCCTGAGGGCCTAGGTTTCTATACGGCATTCCTGAACTCTTTGCACTAATGAGCCCGGGCCTTTTTCCCGTCTCGCCGCTACGCATATGGGTCTTTTTCCGCTCTCCTGCTCCCCACGGTTAGTCCCTTTGGACGTCCGTGACAGGGATCAGGGGGGCTGCCGAGGGGAGGTGGGGCTGGGGCTTACCTGCTCCTGCACGTCCTCGAAGTCGGAGCTGAGCATGTCGATGAAGATGGGCACGGCTCCTGCCTGGATCACCACCCGCGTCTGGTGGGACGTCCCGGAGGCGATGTTCGTCAGCACCCACGCCGCCTCGAACTGGGGACAAGCACACCGCCTGAGTCCACACCCCCACATGTGCCCAACGCCTGCCCCCGCCACACCACGTCGCCAGCACTTCCTGCAGCTCCCGAACTACACGCACTCCCACAGAGCCAGCAGAACAACCGCGATACGGACTTTAAAAATCAAACAAGGCTGTCTTTAATACTCCCTCGCTACTGAAGAGCTGAAATTTGGACTGCAGCTTGCCATCAAGTCTGAAATAAACAGGAAAGTGAGCTACACTAAACACCGTACATTCAATGCAACGCAAGAGCACAGTACACAGTCTGGCGGAGCACGGAGAGCCGTGTCAAAAGCAGGCGCGAGGGATCCAGGTACCTGCAGCGTGCAGTTCTCTCTCCTCTTGAGGAACTCCACGAACTGCTCCACCACCCCCGGCGTGGCGATCACCTCGTCGATTGGGGGGTTAGGCTCTGCACGGAAGAGAGACGGCCATCAATGAGCAACTGCACTAAACTGGATATATCTGCCACCTTCAAAAACGTCACACTTGGGAGTTTGAGAATAATACAACGGAAAAGAGAAACAGTGAATAAAGACGCCGCCCACAGCTGGGCTTTGAAACACTGCTGATGAGACCTCACTCTGTAAAGTCGCTTCGGAGAGGATCCTGGGAGCAATGTCAATGGGGCCGTTAGCCACAGCCAACCATTTTCACAGCAGTTCCCCACCCCAGAGAGCACAGGGAGAAGTGGTCGCAATCACCTTTGGACAACAGCTTCCTGAACCGCTGGGTTCCCATCAGCTGCTGCTCGGGGGCGCTGGAAAATATCATCTGGATCATGTCTTCCGTGATAACACCTTTCTGCAATGAGAGGGAGGGAAGGGGAGCGTGCTTAAGGCAGAGACAACATTCCCCTGAGCGGAGGAAAACCCCCGCAGCCTCTCCGAGCTCCGTCCCGCACAGATACCCGAGTTACTCCATCACTGTTTCAGATGGCACGACTCATGCGGTGGGGGTGCCCAGCTGCAGCAATGGGCTTCTCTTGGTACCTGAAGAAAATCCTTCAGCTTCCTAAAACAGGAAGCAACGCCCTGTTTCGAACTGCCCCCGTGCAGCACAGCGCCACCCGCCTCTCGGGCCTGGGAACGGCGCCCCTCAGGTGTGTGCACAGAGCAGCACAGACACAGCCGCCTGACGACGGACGACAAGCGAGTTCGCCTCACGGGTGCGGGCGCACACACTGACATCCCGCGCGGCTCTGCTGTAGGTTCCCCCGTCCGTGCTGCTGTCAGCGAGGGGCAGAAGGAGACAGAGAGCGCGTGCTGCAGCTCTCGAACGCAGGCGACGCCACCGCCGCCGTGCGGCAGCCCCTCACTCACCGACATCATGTCCGTGGTGTTGGCGTGCGACTCCAGGTACCCGCTGTCTGACATCCCATCATCCTCCAGTGTGCCGTCCTCCGCCGTCGCCACGTTCCGCCGCTTGAACAGCTGCAACGCGGGAGAAAGCAGCGTTTCAG